ACTTGTTTGTCTTTGTGTTTCTATCTATCTATCCATCTATCTATCTATCTATCTATCTATATAAATACCTTGCTACATGTACTGCGTTAGGCTAACCGAGGCTTGTCATTTGCACTTACATATTGTTGCTCTTTTGTTAGTTTTGATTGCTTCTATTGTCCTCATTTGTAAGTCGCTTTGGATAAAAGCGTCTGCTAAATGACTAAATGTAAATGTAAACATGAGGACTTTACACCATTAAAGGAATAGTTCACCTAAAAATGAACATTTGCTAAAAATGTACTCATCCTCAGGTCATCCAAGATGTAGATGAGTTTGTTTCTTCATGGGAACAGATAGATGTTTCTATCAGCTGTTTGGACTCTCATTCTGACGTCACCCATTCACTGCAGAGGATCCATTGGTGAGCAAGTTTCTCCAAAGCTTTTTCCATGAAGAAACAAACTCGTCTATTTTGAAAATGTCATTTTTGGGTGATCTGTTGCTTTAATGACTAACCCTGACCTGTGGTTAAACCCAAAGATTTAAGTGTGGACACAAGTGTCCGTATTTAGCTGGAACACAATTCCCTCACAAAGTAGTTTAGGAGAAAATTCCACAAATTATAAAAAGATCCCATCTGGTGCATGTTTGTTTCAGGTGACATTAAACACACACACACAAATGACAAATGAAGTGAGACACCTGTTCAGATGGCGAGACAGGAACCTGTCTTTCTTCTACTACAGACAGACATTTCCTGATGCCTCAAAGATACTTCTGTAAGCCGAATATCATCATTTGTTGACATTTTGAAGAGCTCTGATTCTCTTGGACGTTTTGTTTTCCATCGTGGCCTCATGTGGCTGTATGTTCCTTCAAATATGATATCTGAATGCCCCATATATATATATATATATATATATTAGTATAACATGGTATGTTTCATGCTGGACCATTAGAAACCATTAGTACTGTGGGGCTGTGGTAGAAAAGAAATGGCATTAGAAATGTACTGTGGTATGGCAGTACAATGGTATTTTTTTATATCTTGGTACTGAATTATCATGCAATATTAATGAACCATTTGCATAATTTATGATATTATAGATGGTCTAAAAGTAGTATTATTATGATAACCATACGATTTTAGCATTTTTTAAAATATACTATTATAGAATTTATTGATATTTTGAATTAGCTTTTAATTTCATATTTTCAATATTCGTTTTGATTTAAGTTTAGGTGTTAGTAATTTAAAGTTTTTTGTCATTTTTTTTATTTTCATTTTTTTAAATTTATATTTATTAAGCTTCTTTTATTTCATTTTCACTCAATATTTTATTTTATTTATTAATTTTTATTTTTACTTTACTTTATAAAATTATGATATTTGAGTCATTGGTCAGCAGCGTTCCCAGAATCTGTTTATGTTGCTTTGTTTTTTTAACACGCTGTGTTTGTTAAATACTTTATTGACACAGTTATATAAATTACCTGACTGTATTTAGTGTGAATTTGTTCACATTTACATATTTGTTCACAATCTGTTTTTACTTGGCCTAAAAACAATGAAGAGTGATGCTTAAATTGAGATTCTCATTGTTTTTAGGCCACGTAAATACAGATTGTTATTTACATAAATTGTGCAATCTAAAATGTTATTGCCCTTTTAAATCACTGCAATGTAGAGAACTTCAAGTAACTTCACAACTACTTTAACTGCCTTTTAGAGGGTAGTTTGCCTGTAGTTGAACTACTTGTAATGATGAGTAGTCTGTACAGTCTGAACTCTGTTGTTGTGAGCGTGCTGCGATCCGCCTCCTCTGAGTTGGCAGCACCTCTGCCAGTGGAAATTTCCCGCACATGTACTCTTATTAAAAGCCAAACACTTGAACTCTGCCATCTGACTGCAATTCTCCATCAAATCCCACCCTTTATTTCTAAAGTGTTCAGTTTGAGATCTTTAGCTGCTCGTATCTCAGTTCTCTAAACTGCATCAGTGATCTTCTCCGAGAGTTTCACATCCCTCAGGTTAAACCAGTATTCAGCACGAGCCGTATGAGTGAATGTGCCGATCTAAGACAGCTCATCCATGTCACATTAACCATCAGGGTGCAAAAGGAAGAACTTGACCCTACTTGAAGAAGTTTTGTTTTCGTTCCCATGCTGACATTTAGACCCTTCATGCTAAATACCAGAGCTGCTCTAGAAATGTCTACATGTATCATGGCTAGTGCATGTTATGCTTTCTTTTTATTCAAAGTTGCAATCCTAAGTTTTTTATATTAGTACTTTTTATAATTGGTTGTAAAAACACTGTAACGTAACCCTTTAACAATAGTAAACACTGGTTGTTCTAAATAGGCAAAACTTGAATTGTATTTTGTTTTGGACACAGCCTTACAAGCAAGCAAGCAAACACGTTTCTTTTAAGCAAATCACTTTGTTTGGATGGTTAATTTTCAGTAAACTGATCCAAAAAATTATCAAATATAAAGTTTGTTTATTTACTCAGTTATATAGATGGCTTGACTGTATTTAATGTGAATTTATTTGAAAATGTAATGCTTTCATTACGAGCGATAATATAGTTTAAATTATGCGGCAATAAAAACAATCATGCAGTTGAGATTTGCTAAATAGTCTGTATCGCTTTACGTGAGTAACTGCTATCCTAATATGTTCATAATGTTTGGAAATAAATGAAAGGCTGTTGCCTGAAATAAACCAATTTGATCACCTCAACAAAAGGAACTGGAAAAATCATTTTCAAACAGGTTTCCCTCATCTTAGTTATCTTCATCTTGAACTTGTTATAATGGCGGGAGGTTTTGCTGTAGGTGACGTGAACGTTTTAAACCGAGGAAACCAAATGATACGGTCTCTTCAAACAAGAAGGAAGAGGGAGATGTGCAAAAGGCTGATAATGAAAAGAAGGAAGGGAGAAAAAATACTTTGAGAAGGAGGTTAAAGTTTGTTTTTACAGTCTTGACGTTCAGATAGAGATCTGATAAAGACTGTTCACCTGCCTTCGTGAATCTTTAAGGCTCTGAATATCCTGTGATAGTGGACGGTTGTGTTCCTAAAGGACCGTTTTACCTTCACACACATGATTTGAGAGTCTCATGTGAAGTAACATTTAACTTGTTCAAATCAAGGGCCGCATTACTAAAACGTGAGGTTCAAACCTTTCACAACTCAGCTGAATGTTATCAGTCTGAGTCAGAATGCGGCTCTGGTCCAAAATCTAGTAAACTACGTCAGCTACTGTAGGTTAATGGTGGTAACTGATGACTCTGCCTTCATTGACACAGTAAGGTTCTAATTAAAGTTTTATGAGTTCTCAAAAGACGACCCCCAAAGCTCATTGTCATCTCCTCGCATCCGTTAAAAGACAGCTTTCACAAGTCGTTGTGAAAATGTGTGCGGTTGCTGGTGCCATTGTCAATGTTATGAATGTAGGCCAGTTTTTTTACTTTTTACAGCCATCTGGGTTTATGGACATTTCCTTTTGTGCAAGAAAATGCTTGTGTTCTTTGTGTCTGAAAACAATGCTTGCTTACGCAACACAACCCGGGATTTCTTGATGGAACTAAAATGGGGATTTTTCTTGTTGGAAATAGATTGTGGGTGCACAGATGACCTAACAATGCTTCTTAAATCCTAAAATCCTTCTTAAAGAGAGAGTTCGCCCCCCCAAAAAAAAAGAAAATGAAAAAAAAAAAAATGCTTTGGAAGTCAATGGGGACCATCAACTGATAGGTTGCCCACATTCTTTAAAATATCTTCTTTTATGTTCAACAGAAAAAATTTATTCATATCGGTTTGGAACAACATGAGGGATTAGTGAATGATGACAGAATTTTCATTTTTGGGTAAACTATCTCTTTAAATAATTCTTTTAAATATAAAAGCCAAAAGATAATTTACTAAAACCCCAAAAATGCACTCTATGACACAAACATATAGTAGTCATGAAAGTGCTTAAACACTTCTGAACGTGAATTTCCTTGCATTAGATAAAATATAAGTGATATTATATTTTCCTAGATATTTTTTAAATGATCCTAGAGCTTGATCTCAAAAAATGTTACAATATTTTGTAATTATATTTGTTTTTTATTTGAATTTAAAAGCATTTTAATTTAACTTTTCTACATTTCTTTACTTAAACAACTTTTATAAATAAATCTTTAAACTGTAAAAGTTTTAAAAGTTTAAATTTGATCAATCTTTAAACTTGCTCTGACTCAGACCGCTTTCACTCTGTCATTTGGTGAAGTACATTTACTTCAGTGCTTGTGTGTGGATCCAAGTAATATAATATATGACTGGTCTCCAAGGTCCTGTTCCTGGGAAAGTTACCGTGGCTTTGGGAATAGAAAATATGTTGATGAACTTCTGAGATGAAGCAAATATATTTTACTCTGCCTTAATATTCCGAGATTATTTTCCCTCGACAGTCTGTGATAAATCTGATTGGCATCTTTGATGTTCGATGGGAAAAAGTGCTGTGTGGAATATTCAGGCTTTGAGAAACACCGATAGGGTTTATAAATACTCCCTCCCATGACATCAGATAGAAAAGATAGTGGAGTTGCACATGTTGGAGCCATAAATCAATGTTTTCCTGGTTACAAGATACTGTTGTGGGCATCCGTTGAAATGACATCTGGTGCCGTGACCCTGCCGATGATTCCCACTGACTTCCTGTGTCCAGACGGAAAGCAGAAGATTACCCAGCGTTGTGTTTGACATTTATGATTAGTCTGTGTCTCTTGATGTGGAAACCCTTCTGATGTGTTGCACACTAGCTGTGTCAGATTTCATATTCATATCTGTGTGTATCACAGAAATACTGATGAACTTGCATGTTGTCTGTTTCCTATTATAAAAGCATTTTTCTTTTTGTTCCCATGGAAAGTTCAACATAAGACATGCACTAGATGATTTGTTTTGATGTGTGTTACCAAGCCAGCCATCTGAGGCTAATAATAACGCTGTTGTTTGTGTTTCAGTGGCGATGCCGTTCATCATAATGACCATCATGTTCCGGCCGTACCAGCGTGGCATTTACTGCAATGACGAGACCATCCGTTACCCCTACAGACTAGACACCATCTCTCACAAAATGATGGCGGCTGTTACCATTTCCTGCTCCATCATTATCGTGAGTCTCCACCAATCAATCAGCTAAGCAACCATTAAAGCAGTAGTTCACCCAGAAATTTAAATTTGCTGAAAATTTAGTCACCCTCAGGCCATCCAAGATGTAGATGAGTTTGTTTCTTCATCAGATTTGGAGAAATGTAGCATCACATCACTTGCTCACCAATGGATCCTCTTCAGTGAATGGGTGTCGTCAGAATGAGAGTCCAAACATCTTATAAAAACATCACAATAATCCACACCACTCCAGTGTAATCAAGTTAACATCTTGAGAAGTGAAAAGCTGCATGATTGTAAGAAACTAATTCATCATTAAGACTTTTTTAACTTTGGAGCTTTGCTTCTGGCCAAAATCTGTAAGTCTATAATTCATAATAATGCTTCATCCAGTGAAAAAGTCAATTTCCTGTTGTTCTCTCACATCAAAATCCACCCACATATTTGTTAAGAACTGTTTTGGACTGTTTTCACTTGTAAATTATGCTTGATCTGTGCATATTTCTGGAGAAATCAATATTATAGATTATGGTATTATGGCCAGAAAAAACGGTTTGAAGTTAAAACATCTCGATGCATTTGTCGGAAATTGGAGCCTGTGTTGGAAAAAATGGATAGTGACTGTGAAGCTCCAAAAAGGACAAAAATTTACCATAAATGTAATCTAGAAGACCAAAAGAATCAAATTGTTTCATCAGTGATTCGGTCACAGTGGTTCTCATGTTATTGGTTCACTGAAGTCTGCTTATTCCTCACACAAAGCTATCGTATGAATTAGTTAGAATGTAGCACACAATTCAATAGGAAGCTACTTTTGTTGACTGTGTTGACAGATGTAACTTCAGTTCAAAGTGACCACATTTTTACCTTTATGTACCAAACATGAGGGTGAATATATAACCACAGAAATCACATTTTTGTGTGAACTATTCATTTAAGGAGCATCATAACTGGCTAAAAGGATTTGATATTGAACTACTTGGGAGAGCCAACCAGTTGCGGTAATTCTGAAATGAATCTATTGCATAATTTGGTTGCAAAAACATGCAGGTGGGTTTGGTATTGTGTCCACATTTTCTGAGAGAACATTGTAATTAGTTCAACATGATTCATCAGTGAGAATACAATTCAAAACATGAGTCATCTACATCACAGACTCATATGCTGACTTTCATTTACTCTCATTACTAAGAATGAATCTTTATGTAACAAATTTGATACACAATGGTAATACAATAGTGCGTTACATAACACATAGGTGCATAAGAAATTAATAAAAAATGTATGAGCTATTGCAATTTGTCCCCAAAGAACCTTTCAGTGATCACTTCTTAAAAGAACCACTTTTTCTTAGTGTGAAGAACATTTTAATAATCTAAAGAACCTTTTTCCAATAAAAATAACATTTTGTGGAATGAAAAGATTCCACGAATGTTCAAGGTTCTTCATGGAACCATCAATGCCAATAAAGAAGCTTTATTTTTAAGAGTGTGAAGAACCTTTTGTGGGATGGAAACATATTAATGTTTTCTTCATGGAACTATAGATGCTAATAAAGAACCTTTATTTTTAAGTGTATTACTCATTCACCCTAAGAAACCTTAAAGGGGTCATATGATGTTGCTAAAAAGAACATTATTTTGTGTATTTGGTGTAATGAAATGTGTTTATGCGGTTTAAGGTTAAAAAAACACATTATTTTCCACATACTGTACATTATTGTACATTAAAGCTCATCGGTCTGAAAGGCTGTGATTGGCCAGCTATCCAGTGCGTTGTGATTGGCCGAATACCTCAAGTGTGTGACTGAAATGTTAGGCCCCTTACCATATTGTGATGCCCTGTCCGGCCGGAGCGATGAGACAAAAACATTAAAACCCATTATAAACGAGGCATTCGTTGCATCCAGTGGGGACATAATTACGAATTATAATGACTTATACTGTCTTTTTACGAGTTGCGTTGCATCGCGCCGCGTAAACATAAAACCATGTCTGCATTTGTGATCAGAGAAATTACAAACAACAAGTGCTACTCTACACTGCTCAAAACTCACATTTGAATCGTCAGTGGCAAATCCTTTAAATATGAAAATGTACTTACAGTCTGAGTCAGAACGTAGTCATTGTAGTCTACTCTCCCAGGATCAGGAAACAGTCCTCCATAAAATGCGCTGCACACATCTGAATATTTGGTTTAAACTGTTCTGGAACAGTGTTGTAAATACAACTTAACCACTGATAGTCGTGTCCTCTTTTGGAAGGCCAAAAAAAATAGTTTAGCTTTCACAACGAAACACAGCGTCACACACGGCGGGCTAGAGTGAGGAACGGCCGGCGGGCTTGAGAACGGCGCGACCGGCGGATTTGACGAAGGAGCGTCCAGCGGGCTTGCGGCAACCACGTGTAATGACCCCGGGCTGGGAATCCGCTTCGTCCACGGTGAAAGCCGATCCGGCGATCCACTGTGTGAAGTTGATGTATCTCCTCAGCGACCAGCACGGATCAGCTCTAGGCATGACGAAGCGGATATCGTCCTCTTTTGGAAGGCCAAACAAAGTAGTTTCGCTTTCACAACGAAACACAGTGTCTTCACGACATGGCGGCAGCAACAATACTACAGCGAGAATAAAAGTTACGCCTTCTTTCTTTGCGTGAACATTTGGGCGGTGTTATGCAAATCTTCCCACATCGTGACGTAGACATGTGGGGGCGTGTTTAAATGAGCCGTTTTAGGCTCTTAACTTTTATAAAGAATATCTCTTTGGATTTGAGACTTTAGTCTTTGCAACTTTACAGATCGGCTTTATGCACCAAGAGCTTGTAACACTCCAAAGAGAAAGGAAAAATTGAAATCGCATCATATGACCCCTTTAAACTTAAAAATCGTGTTGTTTTCTCACTTGCAGATCACTTCCGGAGAGGCCTACCTGGTCTACACAAAACGTCTCTACTCCAATTCGAACTTTAACCAGTACGCTGCGGCGCTCTATAAAGTGGTGGGTACGTTTCTGTTCGGTGCGTGTGTGAGCCAGTCTCTGACCGATATGGCCAAGTACACCATCGGACGATTGCGGCCCAACTTCATGGCAGTGTGTGCTCCGGAAGTGTGTGAGGGCTACATGCTGGAGATCAACTGCACGGGAAACCCTCACAACGTGACCGAATCCAGGTACAGAAGCAGGGGACGAGAAGGGCCGGTGAAAGAGGTCGTAAACTGCTAACCTCACTTCCTGTATTTGTTTATATTTGTCACCTGTTGTTTCACTTCCTGTTTGACCAGTACATTTGTGCTTTCTTAGGCTTTGACCTTTGCAGTCCAAAGGTCTCACTTGAGTTCTCAAATGCCTTGTGTCCTCAAGAGACCTGAAATAATAATAGATTTGATTATACATGCACTAGAAAGTATGATCTTTCTTTTTTTTAAGGAACTATTTGAGTCCTGTAATCAATTAGGTTACATTTTTTTTATTATGATTTTAAATGTATTATTATTTTATTATTATTATTATCATTTGTAATCCTTTTCCTTTTAAAGTATAAATTAATGTAGATTAAAAAAATTTTTTTTTGTCTATTTGCTTTATTCAATTTTTTTTTACATTTTTATAATTTCTTCATCCCACACAGTGTTGTTATTTTTAACTAAAACTATTTAAAAATTGTTGTTGGTAATTTAAATAAAGCTGAAATCAAATAAATATAAATATTAGATGAAAAAAAGTAGAAATGACAACAGCATATAACAAAATTACTTAGACTTGTGCTTAAATGAAGAAAATAAAAGCTAAAAATATAAAAAAGTTAATTTAAAATATTTATAAATACTATAATAAATAATATAATAATAATAATCATTATTATAATAAATATATTAAATAATACTTAACACTTTTAACGAAGAATTGCTGTTATCAGTATTTTGCTGTCATAACCAATACGCTGTACATTATAGGTAACAGTGTTTATAATAATAATTTTTGGTTATTATATAAATGAGAAATGTGCCATCTCTGAGAGATGAAGATCATAGATCTGAATTTTGAAGATCAATAATTTACATTTTTAAGATTTTTACACGTATCACTAAACTGATTATCTCAGAGTAGGTTTAAAGGGATAGTTCACCCAAAAATATCATATAAAATATAGTGTAATTTGTGTTCCGAAGATGAACGAGGGTCTTATGTGTTTGGAACGACACGAGGGTGAGTAATTAATGACAGAATTTTTCATTTTTGGGTGAACTATCCCTTTAAGGTTAGTAGGTTTAGGTTTGAATATTATTACCAAACCGATCACATTCACATCATCGCACATCATACCAAAAGGCACTCGGAGGTCAAGGCTGTTATGAACATGCAATAAATATTTTAACACCGATGAAACATAGTATGAAAGTGAAGAATGACCCATAAATGTGTCATTCTAAATGATTCGTGGACTGTGAAAATGATTTTTCCCCCCCTTTCTCCTTGTATTGTTGTCTTGTATCTGTCCGATCCGTCCTTCCTCCGTGGATTGTGTTGTGCCAGGCTGTCGTTCTACTCCGGTCACTCCTCCTTCGGGATGTACTGCATGTTGTTTCTGGCGGTGAGTTGTCACAGTTGTCTTCCTCTCCTGCAATCATGCTGACACAGAAGACTTGTGTAGACAGATAAAGGAGAGCTCTCAGAGCAATAGGAAACACCACGGAGACAATAAACTATGACCTCAAACATTCCCAATGTCTCCAGCTTTAAATCAAGATAGTATATGGTGCTTAAAGGAACAGTACACCCAATAATTATAGCTCTGTTATCATTTACTCACCCTCATGTTATTTCAAACCTGCATGACTTTTTCTCTTCACAGCATGACAATTCTCATTATGTGTTCCAAACAAGAAAAAGGCATACAGGTTTGGAGCGGCATGAGGGAGAATGAATAGTTTTCTGGTTGCTTCACTCATGTCAAGACGTGTCTGTAGTGTAGTCAAGTCATATTCACACAAGGTGCTTTCCCGTATCTTTTAAGGAATTGCAATGACTTGCATTGATTTTCCTTCTACTGAACCCTCAAGACTGATTTTCCATTTTCTTCCCATATTCTCTTTTCAAGTATTGTGTAATCCCTCCTTGTTTCTCCTGTATAGCTGTATGTCCAGGCACGTATGGCATTCAAGTGGGCCCGCCTCCTCCGGCCCACAATTCAGTTCTTCCTGGTGGCCTTTGCCATTTATGTGGGTTACACGCGTGTGTCTGACTACAAGCACCACTGGAGCGACGTGGTGGTGGGTCTCCTGCAAGGGGCGTTGATCGCAGTCCTCACGGTGAGTGGGGTGAATCTCATGAAATGAAGAACAAATTATAAAACCATTATAGTTTGAATATAAAGAAAAGAAATCCTGTTTTAGAAACATTGGGATTTTTTTTTTTAATTGTGAAATTGTCCACGATTAAGCCCAAATAAAAAAAAAATACTGAAAAAAGAATAATGTGTAAGTAAGTATATAAATGTACTCAATGAGAATTTTTTTCCTCCACGTTACAGTAATTTTAATAGAATTTGGATGGAGAAATTTGATTATTTGTTAAAAAAATAATAATTTTAAGTAGTCATAGGAATAAAAAACAGGTCTTTATTTTGTTATTCCTGTACTATTAATATATATATATAAATGTATAATATTATATAAATCAATTTATATTAATAATTTTCAAATCAATTTAATTTCATATTTTATTATAATATATATATATATATATATATACAGTGCCGTGAAAAGGTTTTTGCCCCCTTCCTGTTTTTTTATTTTTTGCATATTTGTCACATTTAAAAGATTCAGATCATCAAACCAATTTTAATATTACGCAAAGATAATGCAAGTAAATACAAAATGCAGTTTTT